ATGACGACGAAGCCTAGCAAGTCTAAGCCCTCGACGACGAAGCCTTGTACCACCCAGCCGTCCTCCACGAAGCCTTGTACGACGAAGCCGACGCCGGTGCCCACGACGCCGTACGGTGCGCACCAGCGCAACCTTCGCCACATCTAAGTGTCGGTTCTTTGTATTGATCTACTTTTGCTGTAATGCAGTTACATAATTTCGATTCTCACTTTTCCGAGGATGTCCTTTTTTGTTTCGACAAAGCATACGAGTTCGTCCATCAACTTGCTTCACGCAGACAAATAAATATAACAGCGTACAGTTGATTCGGCGTTGAACTTGCTATATTAAATTGAGGTCGAGCCAAGTGCCGGACATGTGATAGTAGCGGTCTTGACTGCGAGCGCAGCAGCGGGAAGTTGCGTCAGCGTTGCACGGAAGACACGGTTCTTGCTTTCGAGCCAAACACAATACCAGACGCAAGCGCGTAGGATCGGCGAGAGGGCATGAATTGACGACTTGTGATCCAAGTATGGTGCGGCGACGGCGTCATAGTGAAAGCCTGCGACTGCTGAGGGGAATTGCATCTGCAAAATATCCTGCATCGATGCAAAAGCGCGCCAGATCGCGCGGACGTATGGGCAGCGCATCAAACGTTGGTCGTACAACTTGGAGGCTTTTACATTGCCGTCAAGTTCAGGCCTAGAGTCATCTCAGGGGCGATTGTGAAGTTCCGGCCTTGAGTCATCTCAGTGGAGTTTCGATTACCTGTCGACAATCCTCACGCGACAAGCCTTACGCCTGGCGTAGCGGTGCATGGCCAAATTGGAAAAATTTCTCGCGGCACGCGTGAAGCTGAGCTTTTGTACCAAGGCGAAGCAAGGGCGCCGTCTTGAACCGCTATGCCCAACCGCCAAGATGGCGGCAGCTCGACCGACTTGTAATAGCAAGGCGCAACCGCCGAGATCAAGATCAAGCCTCCAAACTCATTTGCGATTTGCTCGTGTAGCTCCGAACCCTTAGCTACTCTACGCTCTTTTAACCCACCCACCAGTCCCTTCTTGGGTAGCGGCGGCCTCCCAACACGAACCCCGTTCATCCTCCCCATGCGCTTGCGTCTACAGCCGAGGGGACGAAAGTAAGAAATATTGGAAAGTGCTGGGATCCTTTCCAACGGCCCACTACAAGTCGCTAGTGATGGACAGAGGTTCAACGTGCTAATTTGCGGCATCCCAAGTACTGGGTGATTTTGCAATAAATGGAGTTGAATAATATTGCATTTTCGAGACCACGATCATCCCCGCGTTGGCAACGCGGGGATGATTTCAGTGGCCAAGGACACGTCAGTCTAGAATTATGAAGGCTCAAAGCGCCATGTATTAGCTCGCGTTGAATATCTAGATGGATTACTAGTATGTTGGAATAAAACAGCTTTCTCAGGGGGCAGAGGGCGTAATACCTTCATTACTGCCATGACCTCGGGTGAGGTGAGGCGGGTTGCTCATGTTGGAAGTTGCAAATTGCACTTACTACAAGATAGCTAATAGATATAAATAACACTCTACATTTCACCGACTGTACGAGTCATGAGTGTGGCGACAGCCCCAAGGTGGGTTTTCCAACAGGTTATGAGCCCAAGGGCATCATGTGGGGCTACGATCGACCCCACTTGACCGTGCCGGAATCGCAACCGAGCACATGAGCCCTACAACTCGACGCCAGCGCCAGCCGCAACACCAAGCGAGCGACAAAGCAGCGACGTCAGAACCCGCGGCGACGGCCCTCCAAACCGTATTCACGAAGGGAGCAGTTACAAGAGCATCCCAAAGGTCGCGTTGCGCAGAGCCAACCGATAAAGATCAAACTCTCCAAATATACTCCTGGTCACCCTTGCGAGACAACCCTCGCAGGAACCAGGAAGCTCGGAGCTGTGGACGCAACAACAGCGCCACAAGGCCGAAGGGGGAGCACACCGGAGCAGGCAGCGCCAGAAAGACCGCACCGCCCGGACGAGATCCGCGAGCCTTGAAGTCGACAAGAGCACGCGAGTCCCCGGCACGAGCAAGCGATTTGTTTCGCCTCGGTCGGAGAACGACATGGACTCGATCGAGCCAGCGGCGGCAGCCCCGCCGAAACAACCAACACCGACATCAATATCCAAGAGCATCGAAGAAGCTCTCGCAAGGCAGCTAGCTCGTGACGACGAGTGGATGTGCAAGCATCAAGCCGCAATCGCCGAAGATCGGCGCCGTCACGACGAACAGATGCGCAAGCAGCGAATACTTGACGATCAACGCCACCACGAGTGGATGCGCAAGCAGCTCACTGACGAACAACGTCGAAAAGAAGAAGCGCGACGCTTGTACGAGCGACTGTGCCAGCAACCCGACGACCAGCATCATCGAGATGAAGCAAACGAGCGCCTCGAGCGCGCGCACAAACACCAAGTCGCCACTGAAGAGCGACGAGCCCAAGAGCCCACAGTCGATACTGACGCACAAGTTCAGCACAAACACGCGCAGCAGGTAGCGTACAACTACATTGAAGGCGCGTGCCACGATCAAGAAGCAACCGTGATCGCCCAAACAGCAAACACTGAGCGCCAACGCGCACAAGTGACCACCGCTCCAACCAACGCAGAGCGAGCCGCACCAACCAATGCCCAAGCCATCGCAGTCGACATGCGTCCAGCTCACGAGGCGGCGACCGCTTGAGAGACGCCAAAAGCCAAGAAAATACGTCATCGGCAAGAACAAATCCAAGGCAAGGACGAGTCCACGGCAACAAAGCACGCAAACCGCAAACTTGACCGTTCTACCGAGCAAACCGCCAGGCAAGCCGCCGCGTGTACTACCACCCACATCTTATTCACGCGCCTACATCTATCCCGATCCCGAGCCACCGCCAACAACCAGTACGACCCACTCGCAGAAGACCAACTTGACCAAGAGCTCCGACTCGGTCAACAACGCCGTGTACAGCACGACCAAGTACCAGTCGAAGGACAACATACGCGACACCAACGCGACTTCCAGATCGCATATCTGGCCCGCGAGCAGCAGCACGTTCGTCATCGCAACCGCGATCAACCTCTTCGCACGAAGACCACGAACCGCTCGCTCAAGTGCAAGCCAAATCAGCCAGTACGCCACGGACGTCTCCACTGACGCCGGTCGTGCCAAAGACAAGCTCGAGACCAAAAACATGGCCGAACGCCGCACCAAGGACACGCCCATCGCGATCGACCACAAGATATGTTCGACGACAGTGGTAATCCACAACTGACCATAACACATGTCCAGATCGTCGGATTGCTCCAATGGGTGACAACCCGCTACACGAGCAACCACAAGATCAACCACGAGACCACGACCCTCCGCATCCTACCACTACCTGTGGGAGACGAAGCACTACCGCCTCGAGCTCAAGCCCGATGGCTCACGATCGATGGACGTCTACACCGAAGTCGACTGGGCTGGAGACAAGCCGACAGACGCTCCACAACGGGCATGGTCACCAAGCTCAACGACATCCCGAACCACTGGTCGTCCAAGCAACAACCCACGGTCGTTCTCTCGGCCATGGAAGCCGAGTATCGGCGCGCGCACCGGCACGCAAGAAGCCCGCTGGACCAAGCAGCTACTCAACGAGATCAAGATGGTCAAGGCCAAGGAGCCAAATAACTTGTGGGTCGACAACCAACGTGCACTCAAGATGATGGAAGATCAAGTATAGTCCACGCGAGCAAAGCATATCGACACCAAGTACCACTTCATCCGCAATGTTGTCAAGGAAGGCGTAGTCACCACTGGCCACTGCCCAACCGGCGGAATGCCGGCCGATGCGATGACCAAGCCGCTCTCTGCCAAATGCCTCAACCGCGCGCTCGAAGCATCAAGACACCCAACTAGCCATCTTGTGCCAAGTACAACTTTACCGACTGTACGAGTCATGAGTGCGGCGACAGCCCCAAGGTGGGTCTTCCAACAGCTTAGTAGGCGTCTAAATCTAGAATGCTAGCTCTACGACGGCTCGCAAGTCACGCCCCTTCGTGAAGAGATCATTCGACTTGCTGCCCGCGCAAAACACCCAAATTGGCCAAAATTTGATAGCATATTCTTCCAGTGCAACGCTTTGGCGTTCCCGAGACCGACTACGAGCAACCGTGCCTAGCGGCTGCGCTTGTCTCTTTACGGCAGCCAGCCCACGTCCTTCCCCGATACGGTGACTTTGTTGCAGTTTGCTGTGAGGTATGCAAGGCACGAGAGTGGAAAGGCAGAGTACATTATCCAGACATCCGAGTACAATCAGAAAATCCCTTTCCCAGAGGTCTAGAACCATCTCTTGGTCAGCTGGAGGATCGTGGTTCTCATACTCCCCCGCGTTTAGCCGAGCTGGATTTGTTCTTTAGCTGTACGGATGGCTTTCTTGGCATCACAGATACCGAGCTCTTCTTTCTTGAGGGATCAGGCTTGTCGTTGCAGATGTCCGAGTTTGTCCGCGTGTCGATCGGGAGTTGCTTGTTGGCCATCGCTTCTTCGACGTCGTAGACGAGACCAGATCAAACCCGCCGACGAGGTAGTTGAGCGCATGCATCACCTTGATGTTCGCGAGTTCCATGCGTGAGTACATGACAAGATACTGCAATTCCCCTCAGCAGTCGCAGGCTTTCACTATGACGCCGTCGCCGCGCCATACTTGGATCACAAGTCGTCAATTCATGCCCTCTCGCCGATCCTACGCGCTTGCGTCTGGTATTGTGTTTGGCTCGAAAGCAAGAACCGTGTCTTCCGTGCAACGCTGACGCAACTTCCCGCTGCTGCGCTCGCAGTCAAGACCGCTACTATCACATGTCCGGCACTTGGCTCGACCTCAATTTAATATAGCAAGTTCAACGCCGAATCAACTGTACGCTGTTATATTTATTTGTCTGCGTGAAGCAAGTTGATGGACGAACTCGTATGCTTTGTCGAAACAAAAAAGGACATCCTCGGAAAAGTGAGAATCGAAATTATGTAACTGCATTACAGCAAAAGTAGATCAATACAAAGAACCGACACTTAGATGTGGCGAAGGTTGCGCTGGTGCGCACCGTACGGCGTCGTGGGCACCGGCGTCGGCTTCGTCGTACAAGGCTTCGTGGAGGACGGCTGGGTGGTACAAGGCTTCGTCGTCGAGGGCTTAGTCGTGCAAGGCTTCGTCGTCGTCGGGGAGGTCGTGCAAGGCTTCGTCGTCGACGGAGACGTCGTGCTTGGCTTGGTCGTCGTTGGGGACGTCGTCGGGGGCTTCGTCGTCGTCGGGGAGGTCGTTGAGGGCTTAGTCGTGCAAGGCTTCGTCGTCGTCGGGGAGGTCGTGCAAGGCTTCGTCGTCGACGGAGACGTCGTGCTTGGCTTGGTAGTCGCTGGGGACGTCGTCGAGGGCTTCGTCGTCGTCGGGGAGGTCGTGCAAGGCTTGGTGGACGACGGGGAGGTCGTGCTAGGCTTGGTGGTCGCTGGGGACGTCGTCGAGGGCTTGGTCGTACAAGGCTTGGTCGTCGACGGGGCAGTTGTTGAAGGCTTCGTCGTCGTCGGGGATGTCGTCGAGGGCTTCGTAGTCGACGGGGTGCTAGTCGTCGGCGCAGGCGTCGACGTCGGCGTCGGGACACCAGTCGTCGGGGCAGGCGTCGACGGCGAAGGCGTGGTAGGCGCGGGCGTCGGGACACCAGTCGTCGGGGCAGGCGTAGACGTGCAAGGCTTCGTCGTGCTAGGGGTCGAGGTCGGCGTCGGGACACCCGTCGTCGGGGCAGGCGTCGTCGGGGCAGGCGTCGATGTAGGAGGTGTAGACGTCGGCGTCGGGACACCCGTCGTCGGGGCAGGCGTAGACGGCGAAGGCGTGGTAGGCGCGGGCGTCGGGACACCAGTCCGTCGGGGGCAGGCGTAGACGTGCAAGGCTTCGTCGTGCTAGGGGTCGAGGTCGGCGTCGGGACACCCGTCGTCGGGGCAGGCGTCGACGGCGAAGGCGTGGTAGGCGCGGGCGTCGGGACACCAGTCGTCGGAGCAGGTGTAGACGTTGGCGTCGGGACACCAGT